ACCAACAAATCGGTAAAACTGTTAATTTCCTTGACATCACTCTAACCTTGGATACTTACAACCAGATCCAATATAGACTCTACAGAAAGGAGACAGATGCTAGGAATTACTTGCGAACGGATAGCTTTCATCCTCACCATGTATTCGAATCTGTGGCGTTTTCCCAGATGATACGAATCATAGAAAGGAACTCGCAAGACTCAACCTGTGTAGAAGACTTAATGGAGCTGAAAGCAGATTTATCTAAAAGCGGACATAACAGCGTTAAGTTAGAGGAGATCGAGCCGAGAGCAGTTGTCAGAGTACTGGAGAACACCCACGGAGCCAACAGGTCTAAGGAGAGTGAGAACGCTGATAACTTAGTCTTTTCAGTACAACACTCTTCGGACAACATTCAGCTGAAGAAGTTGATTCACGAACTTGGACCGGACATCAGGAGGATATGTGGAGATATACGTGTGATATTTGCCACACGAAAACATCCTTCAATCGGGAACAGGGTAGTGAAGAATCGACAACTTGGAAATAAGGCTGAATGTCCCCAAAAAACATCACAGAAGTGCTCAGCACCTGGATGCAAGACTTGCCCGGTATTGTTCGATCTTGACTCTAAGATCATGGTCAACGGCATGGAGCTTAATCTAGACGAATCCCTCACGTGCAAAGATAAGCACATTATTTACGTTGCACAATGCCAGCAGTGTAGGACTATTGAGGGATCTGAGGACACTTACTTTGGGCAGACGTTGACTCCATTCCACATTAGGCTCAATGAGCACCGGAACAAGTTCAACATTGACGACCGTGCCCTCTACGAGCACTCAGCCTTATCAATGCATTGTTACGATGTACACAAGGACACTTTCAGTTTTGACTGTTTCAAATTCGGGATTGTGAAAAAGACTAAACCTTCCCTATTAGATAGGGAAGAGGCTAGATTTTGTGCAAAGTTTAGAACTAATGTTTGGGGTTTAAATAGGATGGAAATTAAAAGATAGTTTTTTTGTGGTTTTTACCAATATCTGTAATTAATTAATTTTAACAATTTTGTGCCAATTTTGCGTCATTTTTCCTTATAAATTTTATCTACCACGTTATCAGTGAAACAATTTTATCGTATTCCAATTTCTGATAGACTTTCATGATATTCTCTAATCATGACCTTTTTATAAATTTTTGAATCTCTTTGACTGAGTATTATGATTGATTTTATCTGACTAATTTATTTCTTTTTTGTAGGCTCTAGCGATGTAATAAACGAAGTTTCCAAGCCAAATTTGTGTGTTTCCCTTCGTGTCCAAAATCAAACAATTATTAAATTATTAACCATTCATTCTGTATGTGCACGAAAATTTATTTCAATCAATTATATATACTAGCAGGAACCCGTATAATTTTTTTTTTTGTTTGAAAATTCAATTAATCATTATATATATAAATCAAGCGTTACATTTCAGCCATGCAAAATTACAATGACATATTTTGATTACTAAATGATAAATGGTACTGCAATATAAGTTGCTTAATGTTTGGCCGGATGACAACTAACGAGAAAAATAAACTTGATTAAATATAATAATTAATTCGGCTGAACCAACACATAGCAAGAGCAACATTAACGTTGGGGCCGTCGAAATATATAATCCTAAATGGTATCAAGACTCAAAAGACTAAAATATTTGTTACCAATTTAATTCGCGTTTTTAACACCACTTGGGGTCCAAATTTTGGGCTCTAAAATTACTATTCCTTGGCCAATGTTTTATTTTTTCATGCTGATTTGGAGGCCATTAAAGCATTTGATTCAGTCAAAAAAGTTTCAGTTGTATATCTTTTGCGGTTGTTGTGGAAAGTCGAGTTGAAGTTGATCATGATACCGTGGTGTCAGTAAAATGGCACGGATATATATCGTCTCGCTTTATATATAGTAAGATGCTAGCTAAATACTCCGTAGGTAGCCAAAAAAACAGCTTATTGGCTGGGGACCAGGATATTTCCGAAATAAAAATAAATAGAGCCATTCGGTTTTTTGCAAAATTTTCGTTTCGCATAAATAACGTTTTCTCCCCAAAAGAAAAATTATATTGTATATATAGCAGCTCGTTGAGGCCCAGTGGTGCATTTCGCCGATCTACCGAAGTGGTTGCGAGAAGAATTATATTGAATGCGCGGCGCGGCCTAGTAGTGCATTGCGCTACAAGTTTAATTGTATTTAACTAAAGATTACGTGCATTTCAATACTTGGACATTGGACATTAAAATTCGTCACACGTGCAAGTTGTATTTACAACTTGATGTCACGTGCGAGCTCCAATTTGCTGTAATGTAAAAAGAATGCATCTCACACGACACAGGAGGACCAAAATGCAAAGAAACTGCTGCTAACTGCTACTCTCTGCTACTAACTGCTATTAACTGCTGCTTGCTCGAGCGTGCTAAATCACTTTACAGTCGATCTTCGAGATTGTTCTAAAAGGGCCCTCGATGGTTGTAACCAACTTCAATCGATGTATTTTCGGACGCTGATTCCGAATCACCCCCCATGACATAGGGTTAAAATGCTCCCCTGACGAGATATTGGCGAAAAACTGTATCGATCACGTGATTTGACCGTATAAGGAAGTTAGTCTAATTTCTCGTTAGGGTTAGGGTTTCAGCATATGTTTTTGTTAAGGATTGGGTTAGGGTTAGGGTTTGGATCAGATTAGAGGGTTAGGGTTTCGAAAAGTCGTTCAGAACCAGCTAGATCTAGAGAATGGGTTAAAGAAGTCACGTGACAGTCGAGGTTAGAGTAATTAATCATCATCCCTGCTTGCTCTAACCAGATCCCTCTCCCTTGCAGTAGCGCGCGTGTACACATGGCTATGTGAAAACTGCTGCAATCGCGCCCACGTTGCTCTAATCAGAGCCATCTCGCTTGCAGTAGCGCGCGACCGTCACGCAGTACGCGTATACACATGTCTATGTTAAGCGCCCACGCATTGCGCGCGCCGTTTGCAACAGTTAGTAGCAATTAGTAGCATGCAGTTAGTAGCAGTTAGTAGCTACTATCAGTTAGTACTAGTAGCAGTAAGTAGCAGTTAGCAGCAGTTTCTTTGCACTTTGGTCCTCCTGTGGGGAGGACTATAGTGCAAAGAAACTGTTGCTAATTGCTGCTATGGGCGCGCGCGCGCCCATAGCAGCAGTGAGCAGCAGTTAGCAGCAGTTAGCAGCAGTTAGCAGCATTTGCTCGGATTTTCAAAATTTTTGTACCATTGTTTTCTATAAGAGACTGACAATTTTCACAATACCAAATTTGTCATACCTTTTTGGAAAGATCAGTGAGTTTCGCCTAGGTGCCATATTTGATGGTGCGCGGCTTTTGGAGCAAAATTAGCTGTAAAAGTCGCGTAATTTGACCAAATTCGTTGATTTTTGTCGTATTATTTGGATATATCTTCAGTTCCTTGAATAAGATCATTCTGAAAATTGGCGACTACCTTCCAATAGGGCTTTTACAACTGTCCCAAAAATTTGGTGGATATCGGAGTTGATATAGTGATCAAAATGGGGAAAAATACGCTGCTTTTAGCTGTAACATAATGTCTGATAGTTGGATATGCTTTAAACTTTTCGGACACCTTCCTTGTAAGTCTATGAGTAAGCTTACCAATTTTTGTTGCAATCGGAGGTCGGGAAGGATACTTAATATCTATTTGTATGAAGAAAATTGTGCTGGCCGAAATTAGCGCTAAAAAACCATCCTACAGTCGGCCGCTCCTACTAAATCGCTCGCCCAAATTTTAAGAAAATTCTTGTGAAAAGGCCCTTTAGGCATGAAAGTGATCTAGATCGGTGTATTTTTGGACGCTGATTCCGAATCACCCCCCATGACGTAGGGTTAAAATGCTTCCCTGGAGAGTTATGGGCAAAAAACCGTTTTGGTCACGTGACAGGCTAGTAAAACGTGAATTCGATTATTTAGGGCTCGGGTTAGGGTTAGGGTTGTGGTTAAGATTATGGATAGCTTCGGGGTTATGGTTAGGGTTAGGGTTGGGATTAGGGTTTATGTAAAACCGTTTTGTACGGCTGCAAAACCAAAAAAACCAAAGTCACGTGAAATTTTTGGGCGAGCGATTTAGTAAGAGCCACAGTCGGCACGCGCGGCTCACTGTCGATGGCGCACTACCTATTAACCCTATGTCATGGGGGGTGATTCGGAATCAGCGTCCGAAAATACATCGATTGAAGTTGGTTACAACCATCGGGGGCCCTTTTAGAACAATCGTGAAGATCGACTGTAAAGTGATTTAGCACGCTCGAGCAAGCAGCAGTTAATAGCAGTTAGTAGCAGAGAGTAGCAGTTAGCAGCAGTTTCTTTGCATTTTGGTCCTCCTGTGTCGTGTGAGATGCATTCTTTTTACATTACAGCAGCCGACAGTAGGATGGATTTTTAGCGCGAGCGCTAATTTCGGCCAGCACAAAATCATTCCATGCACTTTTGATAGCTCCTAGGCCTAGCATTTAATTTTATCATTCTTAGCAGTCCGAATCGAGGCTTCCCAGCACTCAAATATAGCCAATACTTCGATGTCCCCATGTCCCCAAAATGGTTCCAAAAATTTGGATACTCAGAAGGATTATTTATATTGGGACAAATAAAAATTGGAACCACCCTCACATCGGTTCTAGACATGCAGTGATTCCCAAACTTGGATTGAGTGGCCTTAGGTCCAATATTAACTGTTTCCGAGCAATTTTAAACCATTCTGAGCAGTTTGAGGAGAATGTTCGTTTTCGTTCATTTCTGGTCAATCCATGAACCTGGCTAATGCTTTGCGACTTTTGATGGCTCCTAGCTTACAGCTACATTAATCTTAAAAAACCGAATTGAGGCTTCCCAGCACTCAAATACAGCCAATACTTCGATGTCCTCATGTTCCAAATGTACGAATTCATCTACTGAATATTATTATTTCTATCAAAAATTCAAAACGTAAAAACCATAAATCTGAGGCAAAATTAGTGTATAATTATTTACTTTTAATTCAATCAACTTAATCCAAAAATGCGATACAAATGTCGCATCAAACGGGATCAATAAAAATTTACCCAAGAAAACAAGTTGACCTCACTGAATGGTGACTGGTAAAAGTTTCAGTCAAAACTGTGAAATGTCGGTCTAGGAAACGGCACAAAAGCAAATATTCAAAAATCTTCCAAAATGTTTCCTTCGATTGTGATGATTTTCCGTTTAACAAAGCTTTATTTGGTAATTTCAATCGTGTAGCATTATGTGGGCCATCCACAGTGAACTCTTTAATTAGTTAATTGGTCATCCAAATCCGAACTTATGTAACCAGATTACAAAGAAATAGTCCCAACGTTAAAAAAATACCAATTCCTGAAATCGCAGCTATAGTTGGAATTTCACTCTTTTCTGTCAACGACAGTGCAGATACAGCAGTCCCCATAGCAGAAGCAAGGTTTAAAACGATGTTGAAGATCTTGGCTGACTGTTCTCCGAGGCCACTGTTGTCTACACTCCATTTTTTGTAAAGATAAAACTTGCTGGGGGTGTACAGGTTAAAACTGAAACCCTCCCCTAGACCCATTAGAATCAATCCTATCAACAACTGGTGTGTCAATTCCAAGAATTTGAAATCACATGTTGTGGCTCCGAATGCCACTACTGCTCCACCGTAGTAAACTGCGTTTCCTATTGCCATTGTCATGATGACATTAAACTTTTTGATTCTGCCTGCAATGAAGCTCAATGTTAAAGCAGAAATAAATGAGACAAAGCTGAAGATGCGCACAAGTTGTAACTTGTACGGCTGAAGAAACGGAAAGTGCAGAGGAATACAAGATCCTTGCAGGCAGCAGATACGTTATGAAATCACATATTGCATTATTCAGGAACAGCATTAGATCGGGAAAGTATAATGCAATGTTTCGTAGCCATAGTGAAATTGGTCGAGGGACAATGTTTTTACTTCGATCTGTCGAATTTGGGGACTCCTTATCGGTAGGATCAACTTTTTTCCTACAACTTTCTTTCACCTTCGTCAGTAATGGTAGTACAAAAAGAGGAAGGATATTGAAGGAGGCCGTACCAAAACTAACTAATACCCACCCACCAGCTACAAATAGCTCAGTGCCCAATATTGATGATAAGACTGCCCCAAATTGCACGAAACTGCTTATCAAGATCATCGCCTTCTTATCTTCTTTAAGATACAAATCTATAACCTCGCCCTGAAATATATTAATGATAACTATTTCTGCAATTTACAAAATAAATAAATTTAAATTTGTAATTTTTTGAGGCTGTAAATCCTATGCTTCAGTTTAGGATAAAAAAGGTCAGGATAAAAAGCTAAAAAAGACAAATGGCCGCAGATAGAGTAGTTCCTCACCTGAACAAACACAAGCATTATGCCGATTGCAACACCTTGAAACCCCTCAGTAATGCTATAGTTCCGAAAAGAACTGAAGCACCAGAGTTCGTATCAATGAATACTCGGATCAAAGCCATCATGGAGGAACAGATCAGGTTCAACATGCTCACACACAGATATCGTTTGAGAAGGGACGCGTTTCTGGTGGTCTTTGGTAAAAGGTTGTAGATGTATGGGCCAGCAGGCGAAGTAATAAAAGTTGCAGAAATGGAAACAGTGCCTGAAAAATAAACACAATGATTTTTGAACATTATTAGATTATTCTAATTTTATATAGGAGTATAAGAGGGTTATTTGGGTTCAAACTCCCGATGCATCTTCCTTAAAACTACAGTTTTCTTGGTGTGAGGACTGCCCATCCACCTCACGGCTGGAATCTAAAGTCCTACTTTCCAACCACCAGCTACACATGGAAGTAGAAGTTCCACTTCCAACCTACAACATGACCAATTGATAAGATCCCAGACACTCCTGGAAACCGATTTACCTGAAGACCTGGAATCCCAAACCATCATCCCAGTAACGCGGCTCACGGCTGATTAGGTACAGCTTTAGCGTCTACCAAATTGGAAACATCCTTTCCCGTACCAACTGGGAACAGTTACACGACTCAGTTACAGCGTCAGTGCCAATTTGAACCACTCTCCCCCGTATCGTCGGAGACCCGTTACATGACTGTAAGTCTAACCTAAAGCACCAGTGCAAACCAAACTACTATAAGGGACCTCAGCGAGAAGAACCAGAAAACTCTAATAAATCTCTTCCATTTGCATTCCTGAGCAACGGTCAGGAACGGGAGCAGAATGGATTGTCCTCTGCAGGCTTTGCAAGGAGTTAGTACCTCCCTCCCTTTTGGCTTACTGTCTCTCAACCGTTTAATTAGCTGTGACTGTAGTTATCAGTCCAGCCTGTGATCTAAAGTAACTCAAGTAAATCCGTGCTTGACACGATGACTCAAAAGTGCAAAGTATTCTAAATGAGACCGAATCCGGTTGTCATGACTAAACCGTGAATGAAATTGTGGATGAAATCGTAAATTAAACTGTCATTGAAATTAAAGGCCATTAATCAAAGATTGTACATTAATCGCCCCCCCCCCCCCCCCCCTGTATTTCTGAAAAAGCTTGAATATGTAATCTTACTCACCTATTATGGTACTGAAGCCAGATTGTTGAAGGAAATCTACATAAAATCCGGAGGGATACAGCCGGGTCATAGATACGACGTACATTCCAAGGCAAGCAAAGATCACTATCGTCGTCCGATGACATGTTGTCATTTCTGCAAAGGTTATAATTAAAGGTAATCTTGGACATTTCGCATTGTGAATTTGAAGTTACCGTGCGGACTACAGAGTAGGAACTGACTGGTATAGAGTTTTGGCTGACAGACCGAAAATGGCCGGCTATCAATCTATTTTCCGATTTGCCGGATTTTTCCGGACCGGAACCGGGTGTGTAGAAAATGAAATTTCAGGCTGCTGGATCTTAATTGATCCCTTTTAAACCTTTATCATTAAAAAATGTGGTACTAAAAGCCAATTATTTATTCAATCGGGTAATAACATTTACCCACACCTGCTATCTTTTTCAAATATCAGCTTTCCGCGACCAATATTTCACTGTTGTGACTGAATTTTTCTTCAGTGACCATCTTACAAGGTCACTGAGGATGGCACAAGACACGATTGAAGTACTCAAAGTTCTATTCCCAAAAATAGCTTTGATAAACGGAAAATCATCAAAATATAAAAAGACCTATTTTGGAAGATTTTTGAAGAGGAGCTTTTCTGCCGTCCCATTGACCGAAATTTCGCGGTTTTGACTGAAATTTGACCAGTGACCAATCAGTGAGGTCGGTGAGAGTGACATAAGTCGCCATCAAGGTACTGGAAGCTGTATATCCGGAGAAAACTTTGATGCAATGAAAATATGAATATGTATGAATGGCACTGGCAGTATCTAGATAGCCCGACCCCTGTTCGCGAACAACTGTTCGCGAACAGGTGTTCGTGTCACCAGATCATATGACTGCATAATAACAGTAACCCCTGAATCAAGCTGGGTTCACATCATGAATATATGAAAATATGAATAAATGATAATATGTCCTACCGGTAGAGTAGGACATTTTCAAATTTCCGCGACTCACATTTTACTGTTTTGACTAAACATTTGTTCAATTTTTGAAATTTTCGATTTTCGAAATCACCTAATGACATTGGACCCTTTAAATTCAATCCCATGCTAATGACCCAGGCTGTAGCCTTTTTACCAGACATCAGATCTTGACGCATGCTTTCAGGTCTCGAGATCAGACTGTGAGAATCCGGAATGTTGCCTGAGTAACCCAAATCAAATTTTCAAAAATTTCCGGTCGTTATCCGGCAAAGCACCTTTTATCATTGACCCGTTGTACGTTATATAGGGTGTTTAAGCTGGTATACCAATATTTGCTCAATTTCACACATGTTGAGATATCATAGATATATGTGACAAAGTTTACCTATTTGTGCCTCATATGTATTTATTTGCTCATAGTAATGAGATATTCTTACAATTCCCAATACATTCAGGTCAAAAAATAATGCTAGACTATTCGGCATTCCTTTTCAGGGTGTCATAAACATCCTTCGTATAAATTTCTTAAATGTGTGACGGAATTGACCAGGTGGTGCATTTTAACGAAAAAAGTCGCTAAATATGTAGATAATTGTCATATGGAACTATCCTGCAAGGGGCCTCTGTTAACTCTGTTACGTTTTTATAATATGATAATTTTGGCATCTCACTGCCGGCCGAATTTAAGCGATATCTTATCATCTGATAAAAATGTCGTTATGTGAAAAGTTTATCAAGAGGATGAGACGATTATCCTTACCATGGAGGGTTTATATAGTTTCATAGTGTGACAGACTTTACCTCATCATGCCATTTAATAGCGCCACTAATATTTATCAATATCCTCAAACTTCAATGAACGTGTCCTCATATAATTTTCGTGACTGGAAAAGAAAATAATAATTTACCCTCCGAAAGTTCCTCGTCATCTGATGACAGCGTTTCCTCCCCTTCTGAAGTGTCATACCAAAAGTATTAATTTCCAATGTCAGGATAGAGTCTGAAATTATGATTTATCGTCAGCTTATCATTAAATATTTTCGCTTTGGAAATAAAAGCGTCATGTGATATTAAATTACAAAAATAATGATTCCACCCTATTTAACCGAAAAAAAATGCAGCTAGTGTTATAAAGATTGCGAATTTTACTTAACATATGTTTTGCTCTGAGCAGATTTACTTTTTGAATTATCGAAGTCCTCAACGTTCAAAACAGGATTTGCTATGACTACGTTTTCGTCAAACATTTCTTCTACCATGACTACAAATACAATGATAAATGTAGCTGATTTTCGGTAAAACAGCACTAGCAGATTGTGGGTGCTAAAATAATGCAAGTCTCTCGTCAGGAGAAAAAGTAATAATAGTATTAATATTATAAATAGTTGCAAAATAAATAGCACAGATGTATGGTGGTTCAGACCCACGCCATCGTTTTAAAATTGATTTGAAGAAAAAAACCGAGGTCAAATCGTTTTTTATTTTAATTTTGAAATTGAATTGAAATTTCATGGCTCAAACCCGCCATGCCGTTTTAAAATTGTCAAATCAATTTCTATTTTTAATATTGAATTGGAATTTCATAGCTCAAACCCGCCATCGTTTTCTATTTCAATATTATTATTATTGCCATTGGATCGGAAGGTCATGGCTCAAACCCGCCATGCCGTTTTAAAATTGATTTAGAAAAAACCAAAAGTCAAATCAATTTCGATTTTGATATTGAATTGGAATTTCATAGCTCAAGTCAAACCCGCCATCGTTTTCTATTTTAATATTATTATTATTGGATCGGAAGGTCATGGCTCAAACCCGCCATAATATTAAAATAGAAAACGATGGCGGGTTTAAAATTGATTTGGAAAAAACCCAAAGTCAAATCAATTTCGATTTTGATATTGAATTGGAATTTCATGGCTCAAACCTGCCATGACTAACCCTAACCCTAACCCAATTAATAACTGAAATATATATTCTAAAATCATATACCACATACTAACCATAACGGGAAATAAGACTGACTTCTTTATATGGTCAATTTCATGTCACGTGATCCATCGATCCAAGTTGGTCTGAATTGTCATACGTTGTATGACCCGCCGCGCACGAAGTGCGCGGCTCCCCCTGTATAGTGAAGCGACCGTGGGGGTCACCACGTGATACAAGGTCTGAACTGTCGGAGGCCTTTTAGAAACATTTCGAAGTTCGTGTGTAAAGTGATTTAGCTCGTAATCAACAACCCACACATACACCCTCCTGAGCTCCTCCTCCCGTAATCCACTCCCACTAAATTGCTCGCCCAAATTTTAAAAAAATTCTTGCTAAATATAATAGGCCCTGAGGGTATGAATGGAATAAAAATCGGTGTATTTTTCATGGACACTGATTCCGAATCACCCCCCATGTAGTAGGGTTAAAATACTTCCCTTAACTACCTGGAGAGTTATGGGCAAAAACCGTTTTGGTCACGTGACAGGCTAGTAAAACACGAATTCGATTGTTATTGTTAATTAGGGCTGATCGCGGGTTAGGGTTGCGGTTAGGGTTACGGATAGCTTCGGGGTTATGGCTAGGCCCTAGGGTTAGGGTTGGGATTAGGAACTGTTTTGTTCGGCTGCAAAATCATAAAAACCAAAGTTACGCCATCGTTTTTAAAAAAATAGAAAACGATGGTGGGTTTGAGCAATGAAATTGCGGCTGCCAGACAGTTGCACCCAATTTAAATCTAGCTAGACCATGGAAAGAGGACGAATCATAAAAACCAATTAAAAAACTGCTTGATCAGAATCAGATACGACAGTTGCGCCCAATCGATATTGAAATCCCCCAATTATAATAAAAATTAAACTTTATTCAATCAAAAATCGTACGATCATAACGATAGATGCAAAGCTACGAAGAATGGTACGGATGATGATTAATCACTCTACACTCGACTGTCACGTGACATTTTTAACCCGTTCTCTAGCTGGTCCTGAACGACTATTCGAAACCCTGACCCTCTAATCTGATCCCAACCCTAACCCTAAACCAATCCTTAACAAAAGCATATGCTGAAACCCTAACCCTAACGAGAAATTAGACTAACATCGATTGAAGTTGGTTTCAACTGTCGGGGGCCCTTTTAGAACAATCTCGAAGATCGACTGTAGAGTGATTTAGCACGCTCGGAATGGTACAAATAGGAACGAGGACGGGATTATTATTATCTTTACCCTATAATATCACAAATAAGAAATAGTGAATATATGCATTCTTCAGTCCGAAATTTATTTTTAGATTTTGCAGATTTAATTTGTAATTTTAGCCAGCGGCCTAGGATCTGTGGCTTTATGCCAAAGCTTAGGCGTATAAGGCATAAGCATCCTGGGTAGTGGGTGGTTTCCACGAACAGTTTATGGTGTATTGCTATTTTTTGTTGTTGAAAATTCAATTAATTATTATATATATAAATCAAGCGTTACATTTCAGCCATGCAAAATTACAATGACATATTTTGATAAACTAATTGATAAATTGTACTGCAATATAAGTTGCTTAATGAGAATTTTCCAAAGATCACTATCGTCGTCCGATGACATGTTGTCATTTCTGCAAAGGTTATAATTAAAGGTAATCTTGGACATTTCGCATTGTGAATTTGAAGTTACCGTGCGGACTACAGAGTAGGAACTGACTGGTCTAGAGTTTTGGCTGACAGACCGAAAATGGCCGGATATCAATACATTTTCCGGTTTGCCGGATTTTTCCGGACCGGAACCGGGAGTATAGAAAATGAAATTCAGGCTGCTGGATCTTAATTGATCCCTTTTAAACCTTTATCATTAAAAAATGTGGTACTAAAAGCCAATTATTTATTCAATTAGGTAATAACATTTACCCACACCTGCTATCTTTTTCAAATATCAGCTTTCCGCGACCAATATTTCACTGTTGTGACTGAATTTTTCTTCAGTGACCATCTTACAAGGTCACTGAGGATGGCAAAGACACGATTGAAGTACTCAAAGTTCTATTCCCAAAAATAGCTTTGATAAACGGAAAATCATCAAAATATAAAAAGACCTATTTTGGAAGATTTTTGAAGAGGAGCTTTTCTGCCATCCCATTGACCGAAATTTCGCGGTTTTGACTAAAATTTGACCAGTGACCAATCAGTGAGGTCGGTGAGAGTGACATAAGTCGCCATCAAGGTACTGGAAGCTGTATATCCGGAGAAAACTTTGATGCGATGAAAATATGAATATGTATGAATGGCAGTATCTAGATAGCCCGACCCCTGTTCGCGAACAGGTGTTCGTGTCACCAGATCATATGACTGCATAATAACAGTAACCCCTGAATCAAGCAGGGTTCACATCATGAATATATAAAAATATGAATAAATAATAATATGTCCTACCGGTAGAGTAGGACATTTTCAAATTTCCGCGACTCACATTTTACTGTTTTGACTAAACATTTGTTCAATTTTTGAAATTTTCGATTTTCGAAATCACCTAATGACATTGGACCCTTTAAATTCAATCCCATGCTAATGACCCAGGCTGTAGCCTTTTTACCAGACATCAGATCTTGAGGCATGCTTTCAGGTCTCGAGATCAGACTGTGAGAATCCGGAATGTTACCTGAGTAACCCAAATCAAATTCTCAAAAAGTTCCGGTCGTTGTCCGGCAAAGCACCTTTTATCATTAACCCGTAGTACGTATAGGGTGTTTAAGCTGGTATACCAATATTTGCTCAATTTCACACATGTTGAGATATTATAAATATATGTGACAAAGTTTACCTATTTGTGCCTCATATGTATTTATTTGCTTATAATAATGAGATATTCTTACAATTACCAATACATTCAGGTCAAAAAATAATGCTAGACTATTCGGCATTCCTTGTCAGGGTGTCATAAACATCCCTCGTATAAATTTCTTAAATGTGTGACGGAATTGACCAGGTGGTACCTTTTAACGAAAAAAGTCGCTAAATATGTAGATAATTGTCATATGGAACTATCCTGCAAGGGGCCATGTTAACTCTGTTACGTTTTTATAATGTGACAATTTTGGCATCTCACTGCCGGCCGAATTTAAGCGATATCTTATTATCTGATAAAAATGTCGTTATGTGAAAAGTTTACCATGGAGGGTTTATATAGTTTCATAGTGTGATAGACTTTACCTCATCGTGCCATTTAATAGCGCCACTAATATTTATCAATATCCTCAAACTTCAGTGAACGTGTCCTCATATAATTTTCGTGACCGGAAAAGAAAATAATAATTTACCCTCCGAAAGTTCCTCGTCATCTGATGACAGCGTTTCCTCCCCTTCTGAAGTGTCACCAAAAGTATTAATTTCCAATGTCAGGCTAGAATCTGAAATTGTGATTTATCGTCAGCTTATCATTAAATATTTTCGCTTTGGAAATAAAAGCGTCATGTGATATTAAATTACAAAAATAATGATTCCACCCTATTTAACCGAAAAAAAATGCAGCAAGTATTATAAAGATTTCGAATTTTGCTTAACATATGTTTTGCTTTGAGCAGATTTACTTTTTGAATTATCGAAGTCCTCAACGTTCAAAACAGGATTTGCTATGACTACGTTTTCGTCAAACATTTCTTCTACCATGACTACAAATACAATGATAAATGTAGCTGATTTTCCGTAAAACAGCAGTTTGTGGGTGCTAAAATAATGCAAGTCTCTCGTCAGGAGAAAAAGTAGTAATAGTATTAATATTATAAAAAGTTGCAAAATAAAGAGCACAGATGTATGGTGGTTCAGACGAGAGGCCGACGACCAGGCCCCCTTATTATTAGGGGTCCCACGTAGATCAGATCATATCACCAATTAGTGACGTATAATTAGTGATGTGATCCATCAGTAGAATTTAACTGACCTAGAAATGGGCTAGATACAGGGTAGAGTTCACTCGTATATCACATAAGTGGTCGCATTACAAGGGGGAAGCTTCGATTCCAAAATCGTATATCGAGAGGTAGGTACTACTAAAAGGTACGGGCTTCAGTAAAGTAAATCGTTGACACACCCTTTTGATCGCAACGTGTAGCAAGTAAACCGGAAAAAATATGTTAGGCTCATAATGATCATAATGATCATTATGCAAACATTCACATGACGATGACTCACTCACTTAAGGAATTGTGCGAGAAGATGAACAATCAACAAAGGCAAAGATGAGGAAATAAAATAATGTGTAATGCGTGTTAGGCATAAGGTAAGTTAGGCATAAGGTTAGTTAGGAGTTAATTTGTTAAGTGAAATTGAATCATGAGATTTGGAACAATGAGAACATTGATCAATTGTTAAGACAATATATACAGACAACATCTCATGAGGGTAAAGGAAATATTACTATGAACGTAGTGATCAGGAGTGTCAGCTTTATACTCGGACGACGAGCCCTCAGTCCCCACAAAAGATAATCTTTATAATTATAGTTAAGACTAGTAGTACAATCTGTGTAAAAGAACTAATGGTCAGTCTATAAAACACATGAAAAGCAGTGTGCTCCATACCCCTTAGTCTCTAGCTTTGTTATCAAAACACGTGATTCGATCATGTGATGTTATCTCATTGTAAACAGGGTTTATTTGTTTTATTACGTGTAGTATGGTAAAGTATTAACACAATTTAACTAATAATATTATGTGAACAGAGTCGACATGTGAACTCTACTCTGTATCTAGCCCATTTCTAGGTCAATTAAATTCTACTGATGGATCACATCACTAATCATACGTCACTAATTGGTGTCATGATCTGATCTCCGTGGGACCCCGAATAATGAGGGGGCCTGGCCGTCGTGCAGCCGTTCAGACCCGCGCCATCGTTTAAAAATTTATTTGATAAAAAAACCGAGGTCAAATCGTTTTTTATTTTAATTTTGAAATTGAATTGGAATTTCATAGCTCAAACCCGCCATCGTTTTCTATTTCAATATTATTATTATTGCCATTGGATCGGAAGGTCATGGCTCAAACCCGCCATGCCGTTTTAAAATTGATTTAGAAAAAACCAAAAGTCAAATCAATTTCGATTTTGATATTGAATTGGAATTTCATAGCTCAAGTCAAACCCGCCATCGTTTTCTATTTTAATATTATTGTTATTGGATCGGAAGGTCATGGCTCAAACCCGCCATGCCGTTTTAAAATTGATTTGGAAAAAACCCAAAGTCAAATCAACTTCGATTTTGATATTGAATTGGAATTTCATGGCTCAAACCTGCCATGACCAACCCTAACCCTTACCCAATTAATAACTGAAATATATATTCTATAACGGGAAATAAGACTGACTTCTTTATATGGTCAATTTCATGTCACGTGATCCATCGATCCAAGTTGGTCTGAACTGTTGGAGGCCTTTTAGAAATATTTCGAAGTTCGTGTGTAAAGTGATTCAGCTCGTAATCAACAACCCACACATACACCCTCCTCCTCCCGTAATCCACTTCCACTAAATCGCTCGCCCAAATTTTAAGAAAATTCTTGCTAAATATAATAGGCCCTGAGGGTATGAAGGTAATCGTACTGTAGTGCGACACGTACTCTAGTGCGACACGTACTCTAGTGCGAAGTCCGACAAAAACACCCTCTGTCGCACTACAGTACGTGTCGCACTACGATCCAGGTAGCGTACTCTAGTGCGACAAAATATCCTGACTTATTTCCAAGTTCAGGTCACATCCTATCCTTCTTATGGACCATTAAGTGATTCGTCGGGTCGGTTCACGTCACTTATTTCGAAGTGATCCACTGATCATAATTCCTTCGGGTCAGTTCAAGCCACGTATGCCACGTATGCAGTGTGTGATCCACTGAGCATATGATCCTCATTCTTATCACACGCATCGTATGAAGGTATATCTCCGATTGGGATAACAAGTTCATATGCTTGGGCCATAAATAAGGTCACGATGATTCTACCAAATCATCGAACAACATCAACATGTCTTCTTCAATCACCTTCATTACTGGACGCAAGCTACTGGTTCAAGATACGTTATCCATGACGGATACCGCTACTGCCTGGATAAGAATCGCGACGACAAGACCTACTGGCGATGCACTGAGAAGACCTGCTCCGGACGTCTCAGTCTGACGAACAACACTACTGTGACCTGGACGCAGCTGAAAGCAACCCTTCCCTCAGAGATGGATTCCTTTGCTGCCTAGTGACTACTACGAACGTATCTGGGTAGGAACACAAATCTCCTCTCCCCCTTGATAGGCTGCACCAACCCTACTATCTGGCGATTTATCGACGTCCTGAAGAAGGAGCAGGATCTAACCCAATGGAAGATCAACCAGAAGAATGAAGATGCTCAGACAACTACCTCCTCGCCGACTGAAGAAGTGGACTGATTACGACCATTGCTTGAACGCTGTGATTGATAGCTACGATGATTATGACAGAATGGATTAGTTGAAGTGTGTTGGAACGATGATTTTGAATTGAATATTGTGATTGCAATCTTTGATTTTATATTTAACCCCATTACTCATACACGACTACACTCTTGTCATTAAAAATGGAAATTTTTTTATTGAATGTGTAAAGTGTTTTGTCGCACTTTAGTTCGTGTCGCACTACAGTCCAGGTAGCGCACTGTAGTGCGACAATGTCGGCCTTGAAAATTCTCTGTCGCACTAGGGTACGTGTCGCACTACGATCCAGGTAGCGTACTTTACTGCGACAGTGTCGATCTTGGAGGTTTCGCACTAGGGTACGTGTCGCATTAGAGTACGTGTCGCACTACAGTACGTGAACCGGGTATGAATGTAATAAAAATCGGTGTATTTTTCATGGACACTGATTCCGAATCACCCCCCATGATGAGTAGTAAATATAGGTATACATACACCTGGCCGGCAATCACCTAGGTGTGAACTGCCCCCGGTGCCTCCCCGGGCTGAGCTGCCCCGGAGAACTGCCCCGGGACCCCAGGAACTGCCCCGGGGAGCTGGGGAACTGCCCCGGGAACACCCTCCGTGAACCCCCGGTCCTCACCAGGGGCAAATAATCGCAACAACAATCACCACAGCAATAGCCCGGGAACTCGCCCGGGCAGACGCCTCCCCGGGCTGATCCGAGGGTGAACAGAGGTCGACTGTGCACACATCTATTGAATTTAAAACGGTGACAGGTACCACACTGAGCTGCAGGTGGAGCTGAACACTGATGCAGTGTTGCTGATGATTCTGGGCCTTCCCCGAACTCGCTTTCCCCGGAACGAGCTCCCCGTGAGCCAGGTGTGAGATGTCCTCGGAGCGGGCCCCGGGGACCCTCGAGAGATTAATCGTTCATTTGTTGCTGAGTTCGATTGTTTAGTTTCACACCTTACTCTCGAACTGGAACAAGACATTTCAGATGTAAGTATAATTTTATTTTGTAGCGAATATTTTGTACACGGGGCACACAAAACTGTCCCGGGCCCTTGTTCCAAGATTCCTAAGTGCGAACTCCGCGAGTCTGGTGTGATCATCTTTCTTAGAGCTCGAGGACTTTTATTGCAATAAATCCCTCGATGTGAGCCCTCCCCTCCCAGAGCAATAGGTCCCGCAATTTGCAGCAAGTACTTGCTACAGCAAAATCTACACAATCATATTTCAACTTACCCTCCCGATCTCCGCGTGATCACTCCCGGATTTATTATGTTTATCATCATTTCATATGTGTTATCTTTGAAACAGCAATCTACGACACGGCGAGATCTTGGCCAATTTTTGTTTACACCTTGATGTCTGGTAATGCTACATCAATTTCACAAGTCCGTTTTTTATTTTCAACTTGAACTCGAGCAATTGACGCTGCATTATTATTTTGAGGTGTAAAAATTGTTTAAAGACAGGATTTCATAGATGTGTCATGAGACCGTGATATGTCGAATATTGTCAAACCTGCTCCCCCGTATCACTCCTGATTTACTCGAAATTCGTTTACCAATTTTTTAACGTGGTAATTTGTTGTTATTTCGAAAAGAAGTGAGCTGTAAAGGTGCCAATTTTTCAATTCTGGGACTTGCAACAAAACGTTAGTTTGACAGGTGAGTCAGTCATACTGTTAAACATGAAGAGTAGTGGTTGAAACATGTATGTAAAATTTTCGATTGTTGTGCATTCTACGTATTCCAACAAATCTTGTTTTTCTTCATTTTGCTAATTCCGGGAAGCATTAATTTTACGCGCTTCCATCATATTGTAAGATTTTTTTAGTAATTATAGGACTGTCAAATATTGCAACAAAATTTACAGGGGTCAATAACAGATAGTGATCCAATCACGTTACCGTTAATCCTTTCACGATACAGTATTACTCATTACGGACATAAACCATGTAGTGGAACTCCAGCTAGGAGCTCTACGTTTGAGACTCTGGCTAGGGAGAACTATCCACCTTCACGAGATGCATGCCCCAGAGGTAGGCAAAGCATCTTAATGCTATCCTCCAGTGGGCTTTCTATGCCCAGCCTCTCTTTAAAAAAATATAAAAAAACCAGGTAATTACAGATTGAAGCAAATCCCAGCTACAGTTTTCAGTTTATTCAACCGAATCTGTTTTCCCTTTTGAATTATATAATGATCATTTTGTAACAGTGCTAATTTTC